CAAACGGAGTGCCTCCCTCATCCCGTACAATCATCGTCTCGAGTGGCTCCAACAGAGGGACAATGACGAACGGTCGGAGTGGGTTTCCCGTTTTCGGGATAGTCAGAAGAGCCTAGGCCGTGTGATCCAAGAAGTCTATGCCATGCGCGATGCCCACTGGTCAGTCCCGGTTACCACAAGCGGAATCCCCTCGAGTCGTTCCACACCAGAGCCAGTCACCCCTGTGAAGCCCGACTCCAATCGATGGACCCTGGGGAATCCAATCAATGGGCGCCAGGTGGCCAAGATCCTCAAAGATGGCACACGCCTCTGCCAGGCGTTCCAACATGGCCAGTGCAAGGCCAAAGCCAACTGTGCCAATGGCCAGCACCGTTGTGGGTTGGTCCTGCGCAAGGAGCGCGCCTGTGGCGCCCCTGGGCACGGCGCTGCCGCCTGTCGGGGCGGGAAGAAGTGATGCGGCCCCGAGGGGGAGGATGGGACGGACTCCCCCTTAGGGGACATCGATGCTCCCCGTCGCTTGGTTGCTGACCTGTTCTGTGGGCCCAACCTGCCACTATCCAAGGCTTTCCTTTGGTGCGGGTGGCGCACCCTGTCAGTCGACTGGATGTTGGACAAGTCTCATGACCTTTCTAATCCACTACGCCAGCAGTCCCTACATGAGCAGCTCTCGGAGGTTGACTTCATATGCGCAGCTTTTGACTGCTCTACCAAGAGTCGAGCCAGGGAAATTCCTCGCCGGTTTGAGGACGGCCGCCCATGTCCAGCACCGTTGCGCTCTGAGGAACATCCGGATGGACTGCCGACTCTGCAGGGTCGGGACCTTCAGCGAGTTCGCACGGACAACCAGGCCTGCGAGTTTATCCTCGAGGAGATTCGTCTGCTCGCCGAGCGTGGCGGCGGGTCAGTCCGTGAGAATCCCTGGCGTAGCCTACATTGGTGGGGGTCCACCGAGCGCGCTATGATGGCCTCTGGCCGCTGGAAAGACAAGCGGTATGATGCATGCTGTCTGGGGGGCGCTCGTTGCAAGGCGCAGTGCTTGCGTCACAACATTCATGAAATTGAGCAATGGCCGCCGCTTACCTGCCACCATTCTCATGCGCCACACGAATGGACTCCTTACCTTCAGGATGGCCAGACAATCTACCCATCCAAAGAGGAGGCCGAGTACACAGCTGTCTTGGCCTTTGCTATTGCGGTCGCAGCCTCGTGGTGGGCCGGGCGCGTGGGTCGCGCTAAACTGCATGTGCCACGGCTGCCGCAATTCGAGTGTGTCGGAGCCCGTGAACATTGGCTAGATCTGGATCCCCGGGCAGTCAGGGAATGGGCAATGGCGCCGCTTGCCCTGGGCATTGGCTTGTATCCCCCAGATCCCAGTGAGGCCGCCCGAGTCCCTCGTCGAGCTCAGGTAGATGACGTCCTCATCGAGAAGGGCAAGTTGCCGCACGATCATGTCTATGTGGGCCAGGGCCGTGGTTCACACCGTCTTGCCAAAACCAAGTGGGCCTCCCCAGTCATTCCTGGGCTGAACAGTCAGGCTAATGATTGGTTGTGGTACTATGTTGCCTACCTCTACGAGTCCGGGCTGGTGACCCAACTGCAAGAGCTGCAAGGCAAAGTGCTGGTCTGCGACTGTCCTTTCTGCGACCCTTGTGAGGCTGATGTGCTGGCAGGCCTTTGTTTCGAGGCGAGCCATCCACAGGGCCGCCAGTCGATGCATCGCTTCAGTCGGGGGGGGACCCCTCCAGCTCGCCAAGTTCTCCTAGCGAGTATGGCCAGCACGGTCCAGGGTATCCCAACGAGTCCGACACGTTGGTGGAGCCAAGAGGCCCTCGTTCTCGCCTTTCGCAAATTATATCCAGCTCACTTCTTCATGAACTTCCAGTTCCCCATGGTTGAGGACATCATCAACGCTGCCCCGTTCAATGCTTTCCCGGTGTGGCTGCACAATAGGCACTACGAGACTGATGGCCCCCTGGGCCCGCACCTGGCTGATGCCAACGTTCGCCAGACCCTCCGAACTGCCGAGGGCCAGCAAGTGGGCGCACTGAATCAGCGAGCAGCCCTACCCCCCTTGCTGTCTTATGATCTCAGTCCTGATGCACACTTCGCCCAAGCGCTGGCACGGGGTCGCGACTTGCTACCTACCGAGCTACCAGCCGTGCTGGACCTGGACCTGGCTTTAGCAGCCGATTGCCACACTCAGTACCGAGGTCGTCTCCGAGACCTTCGCCGTGCAGCCGTGGGAGCACTTCGAGAACTTCATCGGCGTTGGTGTGCAGTAGGACGCCATCTACGGCAGTTTCAACCTGTCGCCTTGCAGGCGACCACAGCCACCCGTGACCTCGGCTTTGTCGCGCTGTTGATCTTGCTGACGTCATGGCCTGATGTTACATACCCCTTTGGGCTCATCGAAGGCCTGCCGGCAGTCGGTTATGCACCCTGCTACGGCGTCTTTCCATCTCAGCCTGCCGAACGTATTACTCTTACAGAGGTCCTGGCCGGATGCGAAGCACACAACCATCAGATCTTGTCTACCCTCAAGCCGGGTAAAGATGACCTGTTCCTGTTGGAGCAGTCTACAAAGGACGCGGCACGAGGGTTCTGTACCCCTCCCCTGACGCTGGCACAGTTGCGTCAGCAGCTGCAGGGGCAGCCGTACCGCCTGATCCCACGCTGTGTGATCACACAGTCTTCAGGCAAGCAGCGGATCATCGACAACGCTGATGCAGGAGGACAAACCTTACGCTCGGCCGATGCCAACAAGTTGGTGCTTTGCTCACCACTACGACCGGCTCAGCACATTAGCCAAGTCCTGCGCCAGATGAGCCCCTCCGAGCGAGCCCAGGCAGCCGCCACCGATACCTGGGAGACAGGTGGAGAAGACTGGCCGGATGCCTATCGCCACAGCCCAATGGGAGCCAACGAAACGCGGGGATGCGTTGTGACGTTTTGGCATCATGAATGGGCTGCTCCGGCTTTTCAAGTCTACGCCGGTCTGCTATTTGGTCTTCCACTGGCCGTTACATCCTTCAATCGGTACAGCCGTCTTGTAGAGGCCCTGGGACGCCGCCTGTGCTATGTCCTGGTTTCGCTTTACTTCGATGATGCATCTATTCAGGACTGGTCTTCGAGCCGGGGTTCGGCTCAATGGGCATTTGGAGCCTTGAATCAGCTTCTGGGCACCCCTTTTGCAGCAGAGAAACGCCAGGCTATGCGCCCCAAGGGGTTGTTTCTAGGCCTTGACCATGACCTTTCGTCCGCACTATCTGGTGGCTTTGTCTCCTTTTGTGCGAGGGAACGCCTTGAAACCAAGTTGAAGGCCATTATCCATGAATGCCGTGCAACTCAAGCTCTCAAGCCCGGTGTTGCAGCTAAGCTGTACGGACTGGCTAACTTCTTCGAGCAGGGCGTCTACGGCAGGATAGGATGTGGAGGTCTCCATGCCATTAAGGAACGTCAGCTTGTCCGAGGTGATCAACTGACGCCAGCTATCGAACAATGCTTTCAAATTCTCGAAGCAGTGCTCTCTATCCATCCGGAGCGTGAACTTGATGTCTGGCCGAGACACCATGAGCGCTTTGTGGCAGCGTCTGACGCTGCATTGGAGACCCCCGGTGAAGGGACAGGTGGTTTTCTCCTCGTCTTCTTCCACGAGGACACCGAGAGCCGGCTTGGATTTGTTTCCTACCTCCCACCGTCCATCTACGTTCTTTGGACCCCAGGAGAGGCTAAGATCGCACAACTAGAACTTTTGCAGGTCCTCATGGCATTGACTACCACACCTGAGCGATTTCGCAATCGCCGCGGCACATGGTACATAGACAATACCGCTGCCTTGATGGCGCTCATCAAGGGAAGGTCAGACAGCCCTGA